AGGTTTGTTAACTTTATCAGTACCTTGAAATTTACCCTTATCTTCCTAAGTTTGAAGCAGTGTATTATTCCTTGGTATGGCCTTGCTTTCCTCTCCATTAGAAGGTTCTATACCTACACCGTTTATTCCCTCTTCTATTGTTCTGATATTGTTGTCATTTACAGATTAACTTCTCTGATTCCCTACTGAATTTATTTTGGTTTTGGATAGTCCTTGAGAGTTTATTTCCTAGATTGGTATCTGGCTGGTACGATTCTGTGTCCTAGATTCAGCCTGTGAGCTGAAGTTGTTTGTTCTCAGATCGAAGGACTCCGTTTAATAATTCTTGTAAGTTTGGTTTGGTTTTTACATATTCCCTTCATTTCTGTTTATCTGGAAATATCCTAATTTCAGCATCATAGCTGAACGAGAGTTTTGCAGGATATGTTATTCTTGGCTGGCAATTTTTTTCTTTCAAGGTTTTATATATCATCCTGTTGCCTTCTTGCCTGCATGGTTTCTGCTGAATAATCTGAGCTTAGTCTTATTGTTTCTCCTCTGTATGTGACTTTTTGTTTTTCTCGAGCTGTTCTCAGGATTCTTTGTCTTTGGTTTTAGCAAGTGTGATTATGATATGCCTTGGTCATTTTCTTTTGGGGTCTATCTTATATGGGGTTCGTTAACCTTCTTGGATGATCAGCTTTTCATCTTTCATTATATTGGGGAAGTTTTCTGTCAGCAATTCTTCAATAATCCTCTCTGTGTTTTATGTTTTCTTCCCCTGTTCTGGAACTCCGATCACTCGCAGATTTTTGCTTTTGATTGTATCCCACATAATTCTCAGGGTTTCTTCATTTTTCTTTGTTCTTTTTTCTGATTTTTCCTCAGAGTTGTATCCAAGTGTTTGTCTTCAATTTTGCTGATCCTGTTGTCCATCATTTCAAACCTGCTCCTCAGTCCTTCTTTGACACCGTCCATTTCTGAAATCTTCTTGTTTATCTTTTGGATTTCTAATTGTTGTTTTTGTATGATTTCTACTTGTGAATTTATTTTAGCATTTTGTTCCCGTATTATTTTCCTGAATTCTTCTTTTGTCTGTATTTTCCATGAATTTGTCTGCCCTTTCCATGAGTTTGTCTATTTTTTCCTCATGTGTGTCTGCTATTTGCTTCAACTCTTGGATAGCTCTGAATATTAGAGACTTGAATTCCCTATCAGGTAGTTCTATTGGAAAGTCATCTGGTATTTTATTTTGGATGCCTAATGGAACCATCCTGTCCTGTTTTTGTAAATGTTTTGATACTGTCTGCTGTGTTCGGGGCATTTGGTAGTTATTATCCTCGTTTATTGACTGTAAATTTGTTTGTTTTGTCCTTTTTTGTTTTACTTGGTTATGTCTGAGCAGGTGGGCTGTGCGTTCTTTGTTGTTTGCTCATCTGTGGGCACGATACTTTTCGCCTCCTTCTCCAATTGGCAGGGTCATTCACTCAGATATGGTACAGCAGGGCAGGTCTAGCTGAAGAGGAGTTGCTGGGATGGGTTGTTCGTGGCACATACTAATGCCAACAGGGCGGGCCAGGAATCAGTGCAGAGCAGGTTCGGGTAGGCCGTGCCTGTGCTGCTTGGGGGTGTGATGTTCAGCGCCTGGTGCAGGTAGGCAGGATGGAGGGGGGAGATTGTGATGTGTGGAGCTAAGATGGGTTTGGGAAAGAGAGAGAGGAGAGAGGAACAGGAGCCAAAAACATACAAACAAAAAAGAGTGCTAATGGGAGCTTGCTGTTTGAGTGGAAGAGATGAGTGACTGAGAAGTGGAGAAAAACAAAAAGGAGAAGAAGAAGAAAAATGAATAAATAAAAATTAGAAAGAAAAAAGAGAAGAAAAGCTTCCAGGGATCACACTGGTGCGGCTGTGAGGTCTGGGGAAGTTGCTCCCAGGCCATGAAGTACAGCCTGGCTAGAAGGGGTTAGAGGTGTCATTCAGCACCAGGTATTCAGGAGGCAGGAAGAGAAGGTAAGTATAGAGAGATGAGAAACTGAATAATGAAGAAAGACAAAAAGAGAAAACTAACGAAACAAATAAAAAAAAGAACAAGAAAATCCCCCCCACAAAAAAAAAAAAAAAAAAAAAAAAAAAAAAAAAAAAAAAACCAAGAAAAAAGAAATGCCCTCTGGGATCCCTCTGTGCATTTGCACAAACTGAGAGGGTAGGTCCCAAGTCGCACAGTACTGCCCGGCTAGAACAGGCTCCCAATTCGAGAAACGAAAAAGAAAACAAACAAACAGATCAAAACAAACAAAAGCCCTGGGATCCCACCAGCATGGCAGCACAGGACGGGAAGCAGTTTCACATTTGAGCGGCATTTCACAGCCCTTCAGGAAGAAGCAAAGATGGCGCACAGAGCGAGGTATTTGAGAGAAAGGAGGGGGAGGTGGTGAGAGGTATGGAAGAAATCAAAAGCAGCAGAAAAAAGCAACACCAGCAGCCAACTAATGGCACTCAGGGAGCCAGCCAGTGTGGGCGAGTGGAATCCAAGCAGCACTGGGGTGAAGCCAGTGCTTCCTGGCCAAGAAACTGTGGCCGCAGGAAGCAGAGGAGGCCGAGTGGGGTTGAAGAAGGGTAAGGGGTAGGAAAGCGTATATCGCTGGTTACTGGTTGTTCTGTCTCCTGCTGGAAGCTCCATGAAGCTGCTTTCCCATACCCTGTTCACCGATCTCCGACAGGAGTCCAAGATGGCGCATCCGTGCTGTGTTAGCTGATAGGGGACCTCTGCATGTATCTCTCCTCACTCTCTGTTCTCTGTCAGTTTTTTATTCCATTTGGTGCTTCGCTGAGTTCTTTATCTCTTCATTTGATGCTTAGGGTTTCAGGATTGCCATTTTCTCTGTTTGGCTTAGTTTTTCAGATCTTTGCTGTGGAGGGATGGCATGGTGCTTCTGTCTATAGCACCATGTTGCCCGAAAGTCAGGGAGATAATATTTTTGAGTATTTCTTATATGCTAGGTAAATTTCATTTAATCCTCTAAATAGTGTGGGGGAAAAGGTATTATTCCTCTCTTACATACAAGGAAACTGAAATTGAGAGGGTCTTGTTGAGAGTCGTGCAACTAGGGAGTGGTGGAGCCAGGATTATGACCTGGCTCTGCCTGCTCTTTCCTCCATTGAAGAAAGAGGCAGAAACTGTTTTTCAGATAATGGTGGAGCTCACTGGCCAAAGCCAAGCAGAGACCAGAAGGCAGACAAACGTGGGTAATGCAGTCCACAGGAGTGTGAGCCTGAAAAAGTCTTGAGGTTTGCCTTTGGAAGTGGGCGTCAGAAGGAGTGTAGCATGTGAGTTATTGTAAAGTGGTGGAGGGAGGGTTATCTTCTACATGTCACAAAATAAAGTATTGAAGAAGACGTTGCCCCACAGGAGACACGTTGGCACTTTCTGCACACTTCAAAACACTCCGCTTTCTAGGAACTTGGCACCCACATGATATCTTCTATTCTTTCATTAAAAAGAAAAGCTGATCATGATTCATGATCTATTAAACTGATTTCACAACCATCTGAAGTTTGAAAATCTCTGCCCTACTAGAGCATTTTTCTAAGACAAAAGATACCCAAGACTGAGACATAATTCAAGTACTTCCCAACTAATGAGCAGAATCTTTCCAACACTCATGTTCCAACGCTCAGTAGGGAGACAAAGAGGACATGGGGACAGCTTGAGATGTTCCCAGCACCAGGTGGAAAAATATAGGCATTTCCAGCTCATGTATTACTTGGTTATTTGAAACCCGAAACATTTCCCATGAAACAATCAGAAAGGTCGTCGGGAAGGGAAGTAACATTTGCTGAAGATCTATTATGTACATTAGCTTATGTAATTCTCAACAATGATCCTGAGAGGAAGGAATTATTCCATTATATAGATGAGAAAAGTGAGGTTTAGAGAAGTTAATAACTTATCTAAAGTAGAACTAGTACTTCACCCCAGGTCATTTGACTCCAGAAACTGTGCTCTCTCTAGCACACCACAAGATTTCCTTAAGTTTATAAGGATAGCTTCCTCCAATCCCCAGTCCTAAAAAAATAAATAAAAAGATCATTCAACCCAAATTTAGCAGGGCACTATAAAACCTAATTACCACTTATGAGGATAATCTCTGTAAAGATTATCCTTAATTATAACTTGGGATCTCAAAAACACATTCTCTACAGTGGTAGCAAGCTCTTTACACCCCATTTACTCCCCAGGTTGTGCCTAAAAGAAGCCAAAGCAATGGTAACAATATTCACAGTGACTTCAGAGGTAGCAGAGAGAGGACATGGGGACAGCTTGAGATGTTCCCAGCACATTGGGAAAATACAGGCATTTCCAGCTTGGAGAGTAAAGGAAGTGGCAGTGTTTGGCTCTTTTACCCTCTCTAGAGATCTGCCTTATTTACATACTTACTCAGCTCTTTGAAATCCTTCTTCCCCCTACTGCCAAGGAATACCTAGAAATGGAATATCCTGAAAGAACAATCTCTCCTTTTCCTCAGCATTAAAATAATCACCGTTCCCGATACAAATGTCTGAAGCAAAAACAACTTTACATTTCTACACCTAAAACTGGCAGGTAGGTGGGTGGGTGACTAATTCCTGACGGACGAGTCTGAATATGCCCATCACAAAGTCTGTTTCAAGGCCTGATAAAATATCCCTAAAACTGAAAAGCAAAAAATCATCTGCAAGCCCCTCTCCCTGTGGGTGCAAGCCTGCTGCCATGTATCTATAATCACAAGGGTGAGGAGAATCTTAGCTTTAAGATGCTAGCCCTGACTAGTGGCTCATCTGGGAGTAGAGAGCCACATATTTATACCTGTTGTGGCTAAAAACTTATGATCAGCAGGGTCTGCAGAGCTTTAGCCCCAGAAAGAATGAAAACTGGAAGCAACCATGTTTTTTTCTTTTCTCTCCTCCTGAAGGAGAAGGATTCCCTCTATTCACCTCAACTTTTCTTACCTATTACATTTCTTTGGCTCCCCTTTCTACAGCTAGGTACCCCCAAGATAAAGTACAAACAAGTGAACATTCTGTTAATATTTTATTTGCATTTTTGGTAAAGATAAACAGTTTCACAAGAAACACTGATTTTCTCAAACAATAAAAAAAGGTTTTAAAAAATCTACTGTCCTAGAAGAAGAAAATGTCTCTTCAGCAAGTATTGGGCCAATTCAGATGGGAGGAACCAGTGAAGTGGAAGTTACATGTGAGAAGTAAGTTCAGATTTATCCAGTTTTAGGGATAACACAAATGTCTTCTTGTCCAGTTCTGTAAAGTTCCAAATGAGCCATCTCAGCTTAAAACTGATAAAAAAGGCTCAAACAGCTTCTGGGGTCCCATCTAGTTTGAACATAGAAGTGACTCACTCTCCAGGAGGCTGCATCTGTTTACAGAACTCATCAAACTGCTGCTGCTCCAGTTCTGTCATGACTCTGTTGAGGGCATAGATCTGAATGGGGGGAAAAATACATTAGCAATGGAAGCCAGAGCTCAACATATCTTCACACACAGTAGGCTTTGTCATTTGAAAATTTCAGAACTGCACCAGTAATGCAGGGATAGTGATATGGGAATAAGAAAGGTAGATATTACACCCACTCCTCAGTTATCAACATGGTTAGGTTCCAAAAACCAGGTTGTTATGCAAAAATCAGCATTATGTGAAAATGGATGACCACATCAGATCACAAAATGAAGGATGACTACATCATTATATAACTGCCAAAATACATCATTACATAACTGCCAAATCACTGAGAACCATGGCCCAGCCAAGTTGACACATAACCTTAATCATCACAGCCAGCATTAATGTTGCCTCGCACCTCGGCGTTCGTTACTGCCAGACATACGTTGTTAATGCGCAAAATAGTCAGATAGTAGATTTTTTACTATTGTCATAAACGCAAAATGTCCGATACTGAGATAGTCGATAAGTGAGGTGAAGGTGTACTTCCATTTGGGGAATCAGAAGAAGCAGTGAGGTGGCTTGATTTGGCCTTTAAAGGATTGGTAGGATTTGAGCAGGTAGAGACTGAGGATGAGACATGATAAATGATTCAGGGGGAAACATTATGAGTAAATAAATATAATAGAAAGGTATGGGATCAGTTCTGGGAACTCCAAGTATGCTAATATGAAGGATATTATAGAGTGGGGATTGGGGAGCTGGAAAAAGCAAGAAAAGTATGTTGAGGCCTTAAATGCTAAGCTAAGAAATCTAGACTTCATCTGTCTGACTGTGGAGACCCAGTAAAGATAAGTGCACAGGGGAGCAACTTGATTATATCTATGTTTTGGTAAAGATAGTTGAGGCAGTGTGAGGGATGGAGTGGGGAGGAGAGAGATTACAAGCCATTTAGGAATATCCCGAGTCTCTGGGTGGCACAATTGGTTAAGTGCTCAACTACTAACAAAAAGGTTGGTGATTTGAACCCACCCAGACATGCCTCGAAGAAAGGCCTGGTGCTCTGCTTCTGACACTATGAGTCAGAATTGACTAGACGGCAACATTTTTTTTTCGCAGGAGGTATCTATTACAATAGTCCAGGGAGAAGGTAGTCGGAATATGACCTAGGGCAGGCAGTGGGGTGAAAAGAAGACAGTGAAAGGCATTCTAAGGGGAAAAGCAGGGTATCTGCGTTATTCTTCACCTTTTCTTTATCCTAGTAATAATCAATCTGTCCACTAAAGAATAGAAACAGATCATAAAACTTCCCAACTTACAGAAGAAAAAAATGAAGGAAGTATAACTCGATTAAATGAAAAGAAGAAAAGGAAAAAAAGAGACTGAGAAGTGGGACAAATAGAAAATACAAAATAAGAGCAGAAGGTAATGAAACAGCAACCAAAAACAAGACCAGCAAAACTGCAAGACAGTTCTTCGAAAATACTAAAAAAACCACAAACCTTTGGCATGAATGATCAAGCTAAAAAGAGGGTAGCACAAAAAACATAATTAGGAACTAAAAAGAGAACACAGCTACTGATGCAACAGAGAATAAAACAAAACATGAATTTGTACCAATAAATATGAAAATTTAAATGAAATAAATTCCTAGAAAAAGTAAAATGATCAAAACTGACTAGAATAGAAAGCTTGAATGATAAAAACAGAATTCCACACTGATGAAAATAGTTACATCAACACAAATGATTCTCAAAAAACATAATGCTGAGTGAAGAAAGCCAGTCACAGAATATAGTAACATATACAAAGTTTAGAAACATGCCCAACTAGACAGTATGTTGTTTAAAATATTATTTAGGGATACATGCATAGTAAACTGATACAAACAGCAAGGGAATGATTAACCTAAAATTAAGAGGTTACATCGAGTGGGAAGGGTGGGAGCATGACTAGAGAGGAATATGCAGAGCTTCTAAGTTCTTGGTCATCATCCATTTCTTTAATTGGGAGGTAGGTACAAGGATGTGTGTTTTATTCTTCCTTAAACTGTATATACACATTACATATACTTAAAAATTTTTTTCTTTTTCATTTTATTAAGTACTACGTAACAGTACACACTAGATATTGTATATATTAGCCCCCAACTCATGGTGACCCCATGCACAGCGGAACTAAACGCTGCCTGGTCGGATTTTTTGGAAGCAGATCATCAGATCTTCTAGTCTGTCTGAATCCGGAAGCTCTGCTGAAACCTGTTCAGCATCACAGCAACATACAAACCTTTACTGACAGATGGGTGGTGGCTACTCATGAGGGGCAATGGCTGGGAATCAAACTGGGGTCTCCTACATGGAAGGCAAGAATTCTACCACTGAAGCACCACTGCCCCTAGCAGAGGTAGGTGAGCAGAACTGAGGTATTTTTTCATCAATCAGGAAGATGCTTCTTTAGTCAATCAATGTTCATACTAACATTGATACATACTAACAATTCACTTTAGAGATCTGCCTATCTCTTTCCACCAAACTCCACTGACAAGAATGATGGGCAACCCTTTTTTTCCTTGCCCCCATAAGTGAACAAGTGATGTGCACCACTCTTGGACGGAAATTCCAGGGGGAACCTCAAGCGACATCAAGAACCTCCTTATAGGCCACTTAAAGGTGGCCTGGTTTTGGCACCCTTTCTCAGGAAGCTCAGTAGCAATCCACAAATGAGGCTGCGTCATATACCCACTGTGTGTGTGTGATATGTGTGTATATATATAAACTTCTACTTTATCATTTAATAACTACTTAATTAGCATTTGTAATGTGCACATCACTGTGCTAGGGACTGAAAGGGATATTAAATAGCTTCTTAGAGACATCCAGATCAAGAAGATAGAATGGTAAAAAGGGGAAAATAAAATAAGTAGAAAAACAAATAAATAAAGAAGCAAAATAAAATAAGCAGAGAAAGAAGAGACTCAAAATGGGTCAGACTGTCCAAGCCAAGGAACGAAAGACTTTCAAGAGGGAAATGGTGACTGACAGTGTCAAACGCTGCTTCAACTGCCAAATGTGCCTTCGGTTCCCATTCACATCTTTCCTTCACATCCAACTTTCTGGAATGTGGCATCTTTACAGAACTAAATGGAAACTGTATCTCTTCATTCTGCAAGGGGTCTTGCCTTGTTTCCTATTTTAGGAGATTACATTCCAGGCAATACAGATAAAGGGAACAGCAAAGCAGCTGTTCTGACAAGGGTCAGGAGTTCTGTGTTTAGATCCCAGTTCTGCCCCTCATTAACTACAGGACTCTAGTCACATCATTTCACTAGAAAATGAAGATAATACCTCCTACCTCATGATGTCATATATTTTATATCTATATTCCCACCTTATTCCAGGAAGAATTTAAGGTTTATAAAGATACATTACAATTCAGCAAGTTAACATAAACATGGTCAGTTGTTCAATTTAGAGTCCACAAAATGAAAGCAAACCAACTGCCTGGAAGCACAATAATTCCTGATGAAAATCACTACTGTTTATTAAGTGCTTTCTCTGTGCTGGGGCCCTGGTGGCACAATGGTTGAACACTTGGCTGCTAAATGAAAGGTGGGTGGTTTGAAGCCACCAGCAGCTCCGCAGGAGAAAAGACCTGGCAATCCGCTCCTGTAGAGATTACAGCCTAGGAAACCCTATGGGGCAGTTCTACTCTGTCATATAGGGTTGCTATGAGTCAGAATCGACTTGACAGCACACAACAGTAAAATTGAAAATGTACATATCCTATAACCCAGTAACTCTACTTCTAGTTACAGCCCTACAGAAATTCTAGCATAGGTGCTAAAGGAGACATCTAAAAGTTTTCCACTGCAGCAGTGTTTGTAATAGCAGAAAACAACAAGAAGAACAAAAATCTATAAATCTCCTAAAAGTCCATCACTGGAGGAATGGGTAAATATACTAAATAAAGTGTATTCACAAAACAGACTACTAAAAGCAGTCAAGAAGAATGACTCATATTAACATGGATAGTTTTATAAAAACAATGTAAGTAAAATGCAGAAATACATATGGAATTTTATTAATGTAAATTTTAAAAAAATACAACAGAATATTGTACATTGTTCAAGGTATCTACTAATATATTTGAATGTAAAAGTATTAAAAAAAAACATAATAGTGGTTGCCCATAGAGAGGAAACAGGTGTAAGACAGGAAATGATCAAAGGGGACTTCAAATTTACATATAATGTTTTATTTTATTTCAAAAAGACTCCAAGCAAATATGACAAAATGCTAACCACTACCAATCTGGGGTGCTGAGTAGCCAGCTATTTGTTATAATATTCTATATTTCTGTATTTTTTAATTTCTCAAAAAAGGGAATAAACAAAAAAGAATAGAAAGAGAAAAAAGAGACTTTTTCCTGATATTAAATACTAAAATAAAATACTCATGTCTGAATGTGGCTCAACATAGGCAGTGTAACAGTTTAAGCTTTTTATTCTTAAGTTGATTTTAAGTGTTGAGAGAACAAAGGAACACTTTGTTGGGTTTAAAGTTTAGGTCTTTGCTTCCTGATAATAAGCAGCTACTTTCAGGGCCAAGTCCAGTACATCTGTGCCAGGGAGTGTCTGACACGTGCTTTCTCTGTCCCTCACCTTTACCCTTACCTGTTCCTTCTCTTTCTCTTTCTCTTTTCCTTATTCCCTCAAGTCCCAACTCCAAAATCTCTAAGCCAGGAGTTATCGGGAGACCTAGTTCTGATCCGGGTTCTGACTATAACTTGGCATGTGAATCGGGCTGCCACTTTACCATTCTGGACCTCAGTGATCTCCTCTAAACCTGGGAGAATACCTATCTTGCCTGGAGGCTAGCTGGGCTCCCCTTCAGTTCTCCCTGTTCCTCTACTCCATTATCATCTCTCGCAGACTACAGGTATACAAATTTCCCCCTCCTTAATCTCACCTGCGGAGCCCTGGTGGTGCAGTGGTTAAGCCCTACAGCTGCTAACCAAAAGGTCAGCAGTTTGAATCCACCAGCTGCTCCTTGAAAACCCTACGGGGAATAGACTCTGGCGGCAACAGGGTATAATCTCACCTCTGCTCTTTGTCTTTGTTTCAGCTCTTGCTGGGCCGATTTCTGCTTGGCCTTCTCAACTCTGCTGACAGGTTCTTTAACTTTGGATTTTTCTTTACGTGCCGGCGGATCCATGGCTGGGCTTCCTAATACTTAAGTCAGCTCTGATCTGCTGATCTGGATGGTACAGAAAGATGCTGAACTTAACAACAAGAAGAACTGCCAGTCACTCTCCTAACTAACACCTAGCTCAGCCCCTTCCTTTGACAGCTAAGGCACAGAGAGGCCTGGGGGAAAGAGCGCCGGATTTGGAGGAGTAAAATTTGAGTCCCACCGCCACGTCTCGCTACAAACCAAACCCAGTGCCGTAAAGTCGATTCCGACTCATAGCGACCCTACAGGACAGAGTAGAACTGCCCGTAAAAGCAAATCTCCTCCCCACTTTGAGCTTTAGTTTCCTCCCTCAGGAACAGCAGTGTTAAGAATCAACTAAGAAAATCGATGTGAACGAGCTTCATACACTGTAGAGTACTGAACCGGCGAGCGGCTGTTATTATTATGACACTGAGGCCCAGGAGGGGCAAGCCGGCCCAAGTCTCGCAGCCCGCAGGCCCGGGCCTCGCACCCCATTTCTGGCCTTCGGGGCAGGGCTTTCCCACCACTATGCAGCCTGAGAGTTACCGACCTAACTCTCCCCGCAGGGCGCCGTGCCCCGACGCGGTCCACGCAGGGTACCTCACCGTCAGGCCCTCCAGTCCGCTCCGGCCCGCCCTCTTCCTCCCGACCCCGCCCCGGCCCGCCCTTCGCCGCCCAGCCCCAAGGGGCAGCTCCCACCTCCCGCCCTCTTCAGGTGCAAAATGGCGGCAGGAGGCAGGCGGCCTGAGCCTCTGCCGCCGACCGAAGGGCTCGGGAATCTATGCGTTTGCCTACCAGACCTTGGGACTGTGAGGCCTCCGCTACGTCGCAGACAAGGCCCCAAGCCGATCTTCAATCGGGGGCTCGGAAATCCATGACATTTCCCTACTTCTACATCTAGCGTTCAGAACCCGCAGCTCCTTGGACTGGGCGGGGCCAAGGACGGGACTGGGCGCTGGGGGTGGAGGGGCGGAGGGCCGCTGCACTTTAAGGCCCTTCTCCCGCTAAGAATGGCTGCGCGTGCGCAGAGAGGATATCTGGAAAACCCGTGTCGGGATGAGGCTGGGGGATTACCACTAACAAAAAGCTTTTCTTGGGAAGATTTTTCTGGGGCAGCTGCTAGACTTTGAAGGGTGAGATCTGAAACTTGTAACTAGAATTTTAACTTTCCGAAGCTCATTTTCTTAATTTGAAAAGTGGAGGATGGTGATTGCTGCTTTATTCACAATCTTATTAGGCGGGTCAAGTGAGATCTGTTTGCCAAGCCGTGCTTGGAAAAAGGAAATGTTGACAGTACAAATGGCCAATAAACACAGAAAAACGTTCAAGTTCACTAATAATAAAGGAGATGGAAATTAAAATAACTGCCTACCATTTTTCATTTATTAGATTAGCAAGGATTAAAGAAAAGGATGGATAATGTTGCCCGATTAGGGTCCGTGCCCTGGAGCGGTGGAGCCAATGAAACGTACTCCAAGTCAGAGTGAGGTAGTTTATTTAAGAGGTGGCCACCAACTGGGATCCGACAGCAACACAGGCTGTCTCTATGGAGCTCAAAAGGCATTTTTACATTAGAGCGTATATGATTTTTACAAAGGTTAGAAGTGTCTTTGTAGTCTGCAGATGGCATGGCCGGATGAGTTACTCACTACAAGGTAATTACAAGAGGCTATCGTACTAGAGAGATACATACCGGACATCTCCTTAGTGGCCTAAAGATATACCTGTCAGACATCTGGGCTCTAATCTTCCTGGGGGTGGGGTGGCGGGGTTGTAAGCTACAGGTGTCTGGACAAAGCAAAACAAAGTCATTAACAAAGGTATGCGAAAAGGAGAAGGCAAAGAAAAAAACAACTTACAGGTTCATCATGGCGTTAGTTTTGTCAAGCTCTCAGTCGCCCATTTTAAAAAGGAGAAAACATGCTGGGGAAAATTAGTCACAATAATAAACCCTTGGAGGACAGAAATCCTATTCAGTCTAATAATAACTGATTCTCATCTGGACTTAGGCACTGTTCTAGGCATTAGCTCATTTACCTGTACATTTATTCCCGGTAATAACCATACTTGTTAGCCGCTGTTGAGTTAGCTCATGACTCTTGGTGACCCCATGCACAGTGGAAGGAAACACGGCCCAGTCCTGCACCATCGCCGTGATGGGTTGCACATCTGACCATTGTGATCTATAGGGTTTTCATTGCCTGAGTTTTGGAAGTGGATTGCCAGGCCTTTCTTCCTAGTCTGTCTCAGTCTGTAAGCTCCACTGAAACTTGTTTAGCATCCTAGCAACATGCAAGCCTCTAGTGACAAGACAGTTGTACATGAGGTGCATTGACCAGGAATCAAACCCGGGTCTCCTACATTGAAGGTAAGAATTCTACCACTGAACCACCAGCGCCTGAAGTATATACTATTATCCCCATTTACAGGTAAAGGAACAGAGCCACTGGTAAATTGTTCTGTCCAAGGTTACACAGCTAATAAGTGCCAGAGCAAGTATTTCAGCCAGGATTAACAGGGTAATGGCTAATCCAAAGGAAGATATGTTTAGGCTCACTACCTTTGTTCCTCTATGAACTTGGCAAAAATTGAAACAAATGATAGATAGTAAGCAAATGGTGAGGGCATAGCCCAGATGGACACTTACACACTTTCAGTCATAGTGAATTGTTAAAACCTTTTTGGAGGCCAGTTTAACACTAGGTATATCGAAAGCCTTCAAAATGAGCACAACCTTGGACTCAGCAACTCCACTTCTAAGAAGTCATCCTAAGGAAATCATCAGAGATGGTCATGGCACTATTTCTAAAACTGAAACATTAGAAACAACCAGACTATTTATAATAGGGGTTGATTAAATAAATGATTGTAGTTGTTAGCTGCCATTGAGTCATAGCAACCCCATGTACAATGGAACTTGGACTGTTGTGATCCGTAGGGTTTTCACTGACTGTTTTCTAGAAGTGTATCACTGGGCTTTTCTTCCTAGTCTGTCTCAGTCTGGAAGCTCCACTGAAAACTTCAACATCATAGCAATATGCAAGCCTCCATTGACATTTGGATGGTGGCTGCGCATGAGGTGCATTGGCCAGGAATCGAACCTGGGTCTCCCCAGGCGAGAATTCTATCGCAGAACCACCACTGCCTTCAAGTAAATGATAGGATAGCCATAATGGAATTCTATGCACCCATTAAAATGGCATAGAAGTATATTTATTGGTATGATAAAATGTTTTTAGCATATCAAATGAAAAAGCTATATAGAGGCATATACAGTATAACCACAGTATTTATTGTTTTAAAAAAGAACATTATATAATGACACATGAAAGAGAGTGGATGAAAACACACCAAAATTTTAATTCAGGTTGCGTTAAGGAGCCCTGGTGATGCAGTGGTTAAGCGCTTGGCTGCTAACTGAAAAGTCAGTTGTTTGAACTCACCAGTCACTCTGCAGGAGAAAGATGTGGCAGTCTGCTTCCGTAAAGATTACAGCCTTGGAAACCCTATGGAGTAGTTCTACTCTGTCCTATAGGATCACGATGAGTCAGAACCAACTCCACGGCAATGGGTTTGGTTTTTTTGGATTTAGGTTGCCTTAAGAGTAGGGGTTATTTCTTATCTTCTTTGTAATTTTCTCTATTTTCCAGAGTTCCTGCAACAAACATTTATATTTTAGCAATCAATAGAAAGTACAATAAATGTTATTTTTAAGTACTATACAAATGCTTATTTGTATTATTATTATTAATAAAAGTAACCAAGCCAGAGGCTATTTCAAAATCTTAGCATAATCGTGGTATCTTACATTTGTGTCACATTGTCCAGTTTATAAAGGCATTTCATATAAGCTCTGGACTAGATTGCAGCTGGAGACAGAGCAGGGGCCTCTGGCAGGCTTTAAAAAGCCAGTAAAGACTGGATCTAGAGAATAAAGGAGTGGGAAGAAATCAAATGGGAGGACTGGAAAGAGTGGTGCCCCTGAGCCACTGATCAAAGTGGAGAAGTTGTGAGGAGTTGGCTTGGGAAGACATGGGGAAGAGGATAATTTAGGGGTGTGTGTGTGAGAGACGGAGGGAAAGAGAGACAGAGAGAGCATATCAGAAGTCTGGGACTTTGAAGGGCAAGAAGTCAGGACTAGGGATACTAGTTTGGGGTTCTTCATCAGGAAAGTGAAGGTTAGAGCCAGGAGCAAGTGAATGTGGAGCCTGAACACCACATGTGAAGGTTCTCTCCCTGCTCTTTTTCCTCCATCAGCGTATTCCCATGAAGAGAACCATTAGCAGACTCTTAGCCAGGCTGCAGAATTCTCTGTGGGATGGAAGTTGTAATGGCATAGGATGGAATCTGTTGTAGTCTTGGAAAAATAAATTAGAAAGCTTGTTTCACAGATGGCCTGCCAGAGGTATTAGCTCTCTATTATTTTAAAATTTATTTATTTAATGTCTATTTTTATCAACATAATAGACATAAATAATTTAGAGAGTAAAACAGTAGCACTCCTGCCTCACCCCTCCCCTCCCTGCCTCCACATCCCACTTCCCAGAGACAACCACTGTGCACTGCTTTTACTGGTGTTTACCTCCATGTCTCTAAATAAGGTGCAATTTGTGCTTGCCTACTAACCTAAAGGCTGGCAGTTCGAATCCACCCAGCAGTACCTTGGAAGAAAGGCCTGGTGATCTACTTCCTCTATGATACAGCCAAGAAAACCCTATGGAGCACATTTCTGCTCTGTAACACATGGGGTCACCATGAATTGGAATTGACTTGGTTGCTTTTGTATTTTATTGCCATTTCATGATTTATTCATTTTATGCATTTTCTACTGACTTCCTACTTTGGATTTAGCATTTTTAGTCCCCTCCCTGTATGTTTCCTCCCCCCTAAATATACACAATTATTGTTTGAATTACTAGTCAGAGTTTACAGTAATAGAGCTATGGAATATTTTTACAGCTCAGGTATATGCTGTACTACGATTACATTCATTTTCTTGAACAACTATTTGTTGTTTTCTGGAGTCAAAAATTGCCTTTTTAAAAAAAATTGCTCAATTATTTTGGCATCTATCACTAATCCTTCTGCAAACTCTCCAACAGGACTATAAAACGTCTCTCTGTCTGGTCACAGAAATCAGGTGATATATATGTGTCTCCTTTTTTTTTCTTATAGACATCCTACCTTAGACCCTTCCTCCTCTCCCTCCAAACTGTCTTCTTTACCGTGATGTGCAGCTGCAGCTCTTGTCCTAGGACTTCCACTAACCACATGCTGGGAATTCCCTTCTCTGCTTTCCTGTGCCAAATCCCCTGATTTTATATTCCCTGAATCTTCTTCCACTTTTGGTGTATTCTCTCATCTTAAAGGAGCACATCCTCTTGTAGCTTCCTTAGAAGGAATTCATGGGAGATAAATTTTTGAGAACCTGCTTGTCTAAAAATGGCATGATTGACAGTTTGGTGGGGTATAGAATTCCAGGTTGGAGGTAATTTTCC